CACACTCACACACACATGCACACACTCTCACACACACACACATACATACACACACATACACACACATTCACATACATACACTCTCATATATACACACACTCTCACACTCACACACACATGCACACACATACATACACACACACACATGCACACACTCACATACACACACACACTCTCACACACACACATGCACACACATACACACACACAGACATACACACACTCACATACATGCACACACTCACACACACATGCACACACACTCATACACACACACATACACTCACATACATACACACTCTCATACACATATACACACAAACACATACATATACACACAATACACACACACACATGCGCGCGCGCGCGCACACTGCTCTTTCCAGGGGCCATCATTAGCTATGACACTGTGTTTGATGTTACAGGACCAGCGTTAGTCTATCTTTAGAACAGGGAGGCACTTCCCTTGGTGGCTTCATGGTGTCCCTCCCTGAATTTTCATAATTGTGGGAAAATCCACATGACAAATAATAATCTACTGATATAGCAGTTTTAACAGGATGTTCTCCAGCACTGAGTATATCCCACTGCATCACAGCTGTCCTGCCTCTGTAGCCCAGGCTGGCCTGGAACTCACTCTGTAGCCCAGGCTGGCCTCTCACTCAGAGATCCACCTGCCTGTGCCTCCCCAGTGCTGGGATTAAAGGTGTGTACCACCTGCCTCTGGAACCTTTCTATCTTCCAGCCTAACGCTCTACGGCCATTAAATATTTGACTTTCTATGCACTCCCCCTCGCCACCCTGGAGAGCACCCTTCTGTTTCTATGAATTTGTCTTCTCCAGAAATGGCAGACCACACATTATTTTGTACTTAGGCAATGCCTTCAAGATACATCTGTGGTGTAGCATGTATCAAAATTTTCTTTCTTTTCAAGGACTGGATAATATTCCCTCACATGACCACACCATGCACCACGCTTTGTCTGTCTGTCAGTGGAGCCTTACCCAAGAGGAAATCTCAGTCCTCCAATACAATATACCGCTGGCCTTTTGTTCTATGTGCGAGACTGAGCACGAACCTGTACAGACCAGATGAGCACACCTCACCAGCTGCATCTGCACCCCTTTCTGATGCCAGCGACCATTTGACAGCACCCTCAGTAGAGACCGCAGTGACCCTATAGTTGAGATTTACTGAATCTTCATACTCAAGATTTATTATATACAACATTAGATCTAGCCCCTCCCCCACCATAGTCTTGACACTCTTCTCTAAGACTTAAGAGAAGTAGCTAAGTTTTTGTTACAATTTCAGTTAATCAAATAAAACAATCACTATAAAAATGCTCAAAAACATGCTTGGATTTTGACTAGGTTTTTCTGATGGGGTTTTTATTATTATTTTGGCCATAAAAATTTTTATAGAAATTCCAGTTTACATGCCACTTCTTCTTTCTTCTTTCTCCTATTTCTGTTAGACATTGAATATCAGGAAAAGTATACACATGTCACCACAATCCTTCACACCTCCTCGAGTGAGCACCTTAGAAATACTGGTGCTGGGTTTTGTTTTTTTTTGTTTTTTTTACAAGTGTGGTCATCTCAAAGACCCTAAAACTTTTGACAACTCTGTAATTTGTGAAACAAAAAGATGTAAAAATTAGTGTTCTTGTGTGAAAGATGAGAAAACTGAGCCCCCGTGATGCAAGAAGTTTGTCCAAACGCATATACTACTAAGTAAAGATTCAAGCCCGCAAGCCAACTGGCCTAAACCGGATCTCTGCAGAACTTCAGTGCACCACACTGCCCTCACTCCAACAGAGACTTCCAGTGTTTTCGCTGAGTTTGAAAAAGGCAGATCCTACATGCATTTAGACTAAATACAGCTGTAATTATGCACATATAACACAGAATATTTTCACTTCTCTGTAGCCCATAACACCATCAACACTTGGCAATTTCGTATGGCTGGCTGTCCATGAAAATGGGTTGAGCATCCTAGAATATTCCTCCATGGTAAGATCAAACCTGATATTTGTAATTGAATCTTTGATTTCTACTGCTCAGGGTACGTAAGCAGAAGGCAATGCTATTCTGAATTGCTATATTCTGATTTTCTTCTGAGATTAGAAAGTATTTTTCCTAATACTCTCTAAAAAAGTCACTTTACAAATAAAATTATGTTACAGTCTAGCATTTCAAAATAATAATAGACAGGCTGTGCTGAGTCTGGAAAAATATTAAGATGCGAAGATTAAGATGTAATCATGGTTCTGGTGTGTATGTGTGTGTGTGTGTGTGTGTGTGTGTGTGTGTAAGTAAACTCGAGGGTAGGTCAGTTGACAACTTGCTGGAGTCAGTTCTCTCCTTCCAGTGTGTGGGTCCCAAGGATCAAACTCAGGTGACCAGCCTTTGCAGCAAGCACCTTGAACCCTTTGGGCCGTATAACTGGCCCCCTACAGATTTTTTTTTCTGTACAAAATAGGAATGTTTAAGTTATTAAAAAGTAGAAACTTGTCGAAGTTTAAATTTTCAGTTTATCTAGTTTTCAGTAATGCCATCAATTTCACACACATCAAGGTTCCATACCTACTAAAACCAACTTTAAATGTACATAATTTAAAATGAACTCAAACTGGACAGTGTGGCACATGCTGGTAGTTCCCAAGTTGAAGACACTGAGACAGGAAGGTCTGGGCTACATAGTAAGATCCTGTCTCAATTTTTCAAAATAGAAAAAAAGGAAAAAAATCAGCCATTCCTTTTGTATGTTCATTTATTTATGTGAAGTTATCATGTTCTATCATATCTTATGGGCTGTTTAGTAATTTTTGTTGTACTGGGACCTCACAAATGTTTGTGTTCTCCCACTGAGCTACCTCAGTCTTGTGGGTAGTAATTGAGGCTTTAAGGATAGTGTGGGAACTCTGCCCTGCAACAGTCAGAGAGCACTGAAAAATTCTTGGTTTTATTTTTGAAATGAAAATATAATTACATCATATCCCTCTTTTCTTTCCTCCTTACAGTCCCTCCCATGGAACCTCACCAGTTCTCACTCAAATTCATGGCCTCTGGCCTCTTTTTCTTCAATTGCTGTTACACACACATGCGTGCACACATGTGTGCGCGCACACACCACATTACTTAAGATAATAAGATAGTAACAGCTCTTGAGCTCTTGGCCAGCCAACCGGGCGACTGTGTAAGATTTGTTGTCCATGGACTGTGTCCATTTGTTGTCCCAGGAAGATGGTCTAAGAGAATTTTGAAGCACAGCTGAGCAGTGTGGATGATGCTGTTTCTGTTTATATCGAAATCTGCCTAGCAGGGGAAACATGGATCTGTCAATACAGTGTTTGATCATTTGTGCCTTAAAATGATCAGTTTTATGTAGATCAACCTTATAAAGAAGTCTAAGTGAATATATAAAAATATATTAACAATGATTTTCTACTGGGTGCTGTGAATATGAGTGTTAATAGTTTTCTAATTTAAGTTTCTCATGGCCAAATGCATCGGTTGATAATCCCTAAAGAAACTTAATATGACTATTATTTATATTAATCAAAATAGATTTGATCTTAGAGAAATTATGTTTACATTTGCTGTAACATATCAGTAGCCATGGCTTGTTTACATTTGCTATAATGTATCAGTATCTGAGTCACTTCCTCTTTTTTTAGTGTGAGTAGCACATAATAGTTTCTCTCCGTTCTCTTTGAAGAGGTTGGTGGTCAGCTATGTGTACAAGGGTCTGATGACCTTTGGAGGCTATCAAGAGGATTTTATGGTAGTCATTAGTACGCAGTCAAAAGACCGGCCAACAGAGAAGCTACTTTTTGCCATGGCAAAACCCAAGGTGAGTGGAAGCCTTCTGCCAGCTCTTCAGCTGCTTCATGGGAAGACAATCTTGCACATTGAGCATTCCAGGTGGAAACAGGCATTACTTAACCAACCCCGAGTTCAAATCCTGGCTTGCTTGATCTAAGTTCTGTTTTCTTTCTCTAACACGGCCTGATACTACCTGCTTCTTTTAGCTTAAGAACTAAGTGGAAGCCAGGCGTAGTGGTGCACGCCTTTAACTCCAGCACTTGGGTGGCAGAGATAGGCAATCTCTGTGAGTTCGAAGCCAGCCTGCTGTACATAGTAAGTTCTAGGACAGCCAGGGCTACAGAAAGACCCTATCTCGAAACAAGACAAAACAAAAATAACAAATTGAAATTTTCCAAGTGGGCCAATGCCTGGTGACAGAAGTTTCAAAAGCAGTGGTTGCTAGCATTCAGGAGTGGGATCGGGAGGGGTTGGAGTTAAAGGCAGTGAGATTACTTTAGATCACTGTCTCAAAAGAGCATGCGTGGAGAGTGGGGATATTGTGGGTAGGTCAGGTGGCTTATCTACTTGTGGCTGTTTGTTTTTACCAGCTCATCACTGTATAGCAGAGTTGTATAGTTAAGATGGCCTTGTTCCTTTGTTATATGTAACACACTGTAGTTTCAATGTCTCTAAGTAAAGCAGCTTTTTAAAAGTCTGCATCCTAAAAATGTCATTCATCTCTGAGGTGGGGGCAGGAGGAGCTCAGTGGAGGAGTCCTGAAATTCAAGCCCTAGTATTGGGGGGAAAACATCTAATTCTAGTAAAAGAGGATAAGAAATTGCTTTTCCTAGAACTTTCAACTTTAAAAAATATAGTATGACATTTATTTATGTTACATGTGTGTCTATGTACACGCCACAGCACACGTAAGGAAGGACGACTTGGAGGGTTGGGTTCCCCTCCCACCACCAAGAGGATCCTAGGATCTAAGCCGAAGGGTTCAGCCACAAGTACCTTTACCCACTGAGTCACTTCTCAAGCCTATTTGTCTGTTTTCATGGTAGCTGTCTTTGCTCGCTAGGTCTGTGCTGTAAGTGAGACCAGTTAACTTCAGAGTGCAAAAGACCACGGTACCCTCACTGTTTTCACTTTAATAGAATTTGTATGACGCTCTCTTAAGCCAACTGTCGCATTCCCTAGCATTGTCACTAAGCTTGACCGGATTTTGAGAGTCATTCTCACTGCCAGCTGAACTAACAGGAGAATGTCATGGTGTCTGCATGGTGCCAGGCTCTTTAACCTTGTCTGATCTAGAGCAGTGGTTCTCAACCTTCCTAATGCCGTGACCCTTTAATATGGTTCCTCGTGTTGTGGTGATCGCCAGTTACAAAATTATTTCCTTTCCACTTCATAACTGTAATTCTGCTACTGTTATGAGTCATAATGTAAGTATCTAATATGCAGGATATCTGACATGTGAGCCCCCAAAGGAGTCAGGGTGAGAACCTCTGCCCTAGAGAGAAGGGCATGGAGCTAGACTGGCTAGATGCAAATGAGATGGCCCATGGGCAGAGGAGAGAACTTCTCAGTTGCCTGACAGGGTGGGTTTTCTTGTTTTAGATTCTTGAAATTACCCTTCTGATGGCCAGTTACATCAACAACTTCTATCAGCAAAAGACAGCGTTTCACCACCTCTCTGCTCCTGCACTGCTGTCACCCAGGACCCAGGGACCCCAAGCCAGAGCCATGGGCAGCCAGCCCCTTCCATCCAACAGCAGACCTACCAAAGGCCCTACCTTACTCTGAAGCTCCTGAGCCTGAACCGTCACTCCTTCACTACGTGGTTGCACCCGCTGCAAGCAAAGCGTTTACACCCCGCTGACATGGCGCATACACCAGCACTCCAGACTGTAGCAGTAATGGGTTACTCTCTTATCTGACTCTTAATATTTAGATAACAATAAACACAAGATGTATCAACACACTCATTGTGTCCTAGACAAAGTAGGTTAGAATTTGTCTCTCTTTTTTTTTTTTTTAGTTTCCCCCGTCTCCCTTCTTGGTCATAAGACATTGTGCAGTAATGCTTCCCAGTTTGCTTTTAAATATCCTGGCAATCTTTTGAAAGGGGGATTCCAAACTCTCATTTGGTAAACCAGTTGACTATCTGGAAAAGCTCACTGCCAAAGAATGCAAGTACTGGAATCAAATATGCCTTTAGCTAATGATGTGGTCTTTGAGAAGGAGTGAGATTTAGTGTAGAATTCATCTGTGGGAACATATACAGGGGGCGAATTCTTAGAGCAAGTGCAGTAAATTGTCTGAGGCTGGGTGTCATTACATGAGAGGGCAGACCACTAACCAGAGCTGCCTCTGCAAGGTTAGGAAGTATGGATCCTGCCACCTCTGCGGATCACTAGAGTGTGTAAAATGAGGTAGCAAGTCCAGGCATCCCTGCCTGTCAGCATAGCCTAAGATCACTGAACAGTGCGTCACGTTCAAATGTGTTTAATGCTAGCTCAGCGTGACCTTGCTTTGTTATAAATAGTGTCTTTGTAAACAAAGATGATCCTTAAAGCTTTGTCCTTCACACGGTCTTTTCTAATTCGAGTTTAAAAATATATTCCAAAGTAAATTCTATTAGAAAATACTTTAGCTGAAGGAAGTCCATTTTGAGTTGAACTTGTCTCGAGATGCTATAGTTATCCCATTGCTGTGGCAGAATGCTTGGCAAAAGCAGTCTAAGCGGGACATGATAGTTTCTGCTGTTTCAGAGAGTTCTGTCCCTGGTGTTCTATCCTTAGTGGCTTGGCCCGGTGCAGTTGGTGGCAGGAGCATGTGGCATAATGGCTAGGAAGCAGAGAGCAAAGAAGGGGCCAGGGACAGGTGCAACTTCAAAAGCATGTCCCCAGTGACTCACTTCCTCTAAGTTCCAACTCAAATTTTCTACCACCTTTCAAACTAGCACAACATCTGCAGTCCAAGTGTTCGACACATGAGCCTCTGGAAACATTTCATAGTTAAATCGTAACAGCTACGTAAGTGGCCAATACATTTCAAGCTGTGTCAAGGTGATGTAATTAGTATTCCTGATAAGATGAAACTGTGATAAGATATAAAAATTCTATTATAAAAAGGTTTAACCACAAGTCTACCTAATTTTATTTATGTGTAGAATACTTGTATTTATTTTTAAACATATATTTATCATTTTGTGTGCTGTATTTTTTAAGCTGATTTGAGAAAGTGCTAGGTGCCGAATGAATTTGTTGGCAGAGCCTCTGTGTTCCCCTCTTTGCTGTGGTGGTGTCCTGTTCTCACAGTAAGCCTTTTAAACATGCTCTGCCCTTAGGAGCAAAGTCAGGAGACGTGTTGTTCCTGTTATATTGTACTGTCTTGGAAATAACAGATATTTTTCAAGCCCCAAAGAAATGGCCTTCAAGTGGCTGTTCACCCTTCCATCTTTTGAACCACAACCACTCACTGAATAAACAGATTCAGTTTTAAGAATAAATGATTAACAATTTGGGGTGATTTTCAGAGTGTGTTTGATTGGGATAAAGTAGTGTTTTTGAGTGCCCATAAAACCACTTAATAATCGTTAGTGGGTGAGCCAGAGGCTGGGGCAGAGCTCTGACTTACAGATGAGAACTTTATTTTCCACCAACAGGTCATTCGCCAAGCAGTCCCGTCTGTCACATCTTCAGATTTAAAAGTAGTGAGTTCTCCCTTAAACTACGGTGCCTTAGACTTTGTACTTGTTTTTTGACAGAGCAGGAATAAAATATTTTGATAGAAAGAAGTCAGTTTTGTGTAATCAGTGATGTGAAAATTTTATCTCCTGGGAAATCCCTTATATAGCCCTTTTTTTAATGCAAGTATATTATTGTGATTGGTTACAAGAGAATAATGTTTCGTGTTCAATTGTAATATTTCTCACCTATCTGTTTCTTTCTTCTCCGTTACAATAAATGATTTATGAGTCCCATTTTGAACACTATCTTTTAAATAATGTTCAAAACATACCTAATGGTTTCGTTGTGGGAGCTGCGGTGTGCTGTGGAGAGGGTGACAGTCACTGCCCCCTGGTGCCTTCCTTCTGTGTCTTCAGCCCCCTGGTGGCTCTGCTTCAGTGACCTCATAGGAGGCTGCTTAGACAAATTGTAATTTTAATACGTGTACATTTGGATACATATAGACTATGTAAAGAGGCAAATAGAAATGTATGTTCTTTCCATAATTTCATAATAAATCCCTTAAGAGAGCTTATTTCATTTAAGTGAGTTTAATGGATTATGTTCTAAAAATTAATTTAAAATGTTCTGCAGTGCATGTGTGTGCATGTGCATGTGTGTGCATGTG